AAACGTTCCTCCTGTCTTGACAGTAGGTGCGCATATCTGACACACCCCCTCAGCTTGGACATGCTTCAAGCTGGTTCCCGATTGCGCATCCTTAGTATGCTTCCAGGGCTTCCATTCTTGCTTCAATCTCTTCCATATCCGCTTCCTAACTAACTATCCTCTCCCTAACGTCAACTAGCCGAATTTGCTGAAGAAAGCTTGGCCATTTGCTGGCTAGAAGCGCTTTAGTAAGTCTGTCCGCAAGCATCTTGCTAGAGGGGACATAGACAACCTTAATCATTTATTAAGAGACTTCCTGTCAGAGCCAGTAGTTATAGATGTTGACATGTCAGAGCTTAGTTTAAAGTTAAGATATCTCTTTGTTTACTAGTTAGATTATCTACTTGTTGTTGCACTAAATTGTAATAGTTAAATTAGGCATCTTAACCTATAGTTTATTAAAAAGCATTTTTATAAACATAGCTTCCTTAGCAACTTAGAACAGTGCAAGTAATTCTGCTTTTGTTGTTAATATTGTAACTATATCTTGTTTATTTACTTACTATGCAATCTATCTGCTAAATAGTTAAATAACATAGCCCTAAAAGCTCTTTTTATTTAGTGTATTATCTGCAAATAACGCATTACTTGCTACTATAAGGTAGTCTTCTCCTTCTAATTAGAGTGCGTACGTCCGTGTTGCATGTAGGTACAGGATGACTTAATTGGCTGCATCCTAATAGTTAGATGCAGGATTTGTGAGAAACTGTGCAAGGCGTGATGTGGCAAAGGCAATGTCTAGTCTTATAGTAACTACTGCAAAGAGCAGAGATCTAATCTTCTGCTAATATTAATTTACTTCTAATAGGGTTGTAAAACTAGATTGCAGCATAAGTTTAATCCTACTTATAGGTGTAGCGTGCTGCAGGTCCTTTCTGTTAGCTAGCCTAGCTATCTTATTAATATATAATGCCTGTAACAGCTAAATTATTTGTTACTATTAATCTCTAATAATCTTAACTCCTAGAAACTATTATAGGTCCTTGCCTTTTATTAGAGTATACTTCTTTTGTAACTAGTCTACTACACGCTGTGCATCTGCTTTAGAGCTTTTTCTATGCGCAATAATAAGGTTGTCTACATAAAAAAAAAATATTCTAGCTTTAGTTATGCAGTAGAGTTTATGTAGAACAGCTAAGAACTTAAGGCCTTTAAGAGTTATTATAAAATAGTGTTGCTAGAGTAAAAAAAAAATTTATAGGCTATATAGTGCTTTTTAAAGCTTTAGTATTATACCTAGTTTTTAATAGCCTTTTAGCATCTGCATGTAGATATTGCAGTTAATTGCTGCATATATAAACACGTTAGTTATGTTGTATTATTTAAGCTCTAGGTTAAAGCATGCAGATATTACTATTAGCATTTAAAATAAGCGTCCTGCTAGGGTAGCAGTGTAGGTATTTTGTGTAGTAATGTTTCTTTATTAATTACTGTAAACTACTAGTTGCGCCTTGCATCTTTATAATCTATAGTGCTTATTAAGCTTATAGGTGTACACCTACATATAATCTAGGATTTGCTGTCTAGCTGCCTTAATTAGCTTTGTCTAGACCTCTGTCTAGGATTTTATTGTCTAATAACTATCTAGGTGCGTTCTTTCTACTGCCTTAAACATCTTATATAGAGGGTGCTTCTTTAGTTACTTTTAGGTTAATAGTAAAAGTAGCAGCTAGCTTTTATAAGGTGTTTTCCTTTTAGATAGCATTCTTATTAATGCTGCTTTATTTAGCGTCTTGCTGCTTGTGAGAGCACTGTGAAGCAGGAAGCGTGAAGCGCAGAAGGGGGTACAGGATAGTATTGATAGACGAATCCTTGAGGAGACTCAGGGGTTCGTAAGAAGATATATATATATGTGCTGGGGCACGTGACGGGACGTCATGTGCCCAAGGCTGGGCCGAGGGCTCTCCGGGGAGAGTCCGAGGCATGTCCAAGTTGACCGTGACACTGCTATGCTTTCCTACACTTTTAAATCTTATGCTAGCTATAAAGGCTGCAGCCTATAGTACAGTTTTTAACAACTCTATTTAGCTTAGCTTTAGTGCTGCTCTAGCTATTAACTGCATAAGCAATGCTGCAGGTGGTAGAGTATTTAGAGAAGATAGATAGTTATCTCTAATCTTTCTTCCTTAATAGTAGCCTAGTAGGTCTACTTTATTAAAATTTAATGTATTGTCTGCAGTGTTGTCTTTATAAAATAACTTTATCTCTAGCTAATAACTAGGTGTTAGAAGCTTAATTATTCTAATGTATATAGTAATTTTTTTTACTATGTTATATATAAGGTTATCTATTAGGTCTTTAGACTTG